GGAAATATCCATGTATTTAATCTGGGATGACGTATTACCCAAAATCTTGGCAAGTATTCAAAATTGTAGTTGTAGATAGTACAAGTTGTTGACAGTTGTTGACTTACTGGCTGTAAGCTCGCACAACCTGTCTATTACACATTGCTTGCTTCATAACTATTGTAACGTTAACTACAGAAATACAACTTTATGCCTTGCTCTCAAATTTAGCTAACTATGCGAGATCAGGGTCGGTACTTGAGCTCTATGATCAGCCTTTCCAACTCCGCATGTTATGCAAATTGAAACTGATGTAAATATTTCAACAGAAATGTGAATTTGTTATCTTAAACTTAGATATTTGGGGTCCAGTTTGTGTATGTGTGTATTCACTTAGTTGTATTCACCTAGTTGTGCTTGCGGGGGTTAAGCTTTGCTCTTTCGGCCCGCCTCTCAACTGTTACTAACTGTACTACTATTTTTTTCTCACACCACACACCAGGAAGCAGCCTGTGACAGCAGACTAACTCCCAGGTACCTATTGGTACCTATTTACTGCTAGGTGACAGGTGCATTAGGGTGAAAGAAACTCTGCCCATTGTTTCTCGCCGGCACCCAGAATCGAATCCGGGACCACAGGATCACGCGTCCAGCGTGCTATCCGCTCAGCCTCCCCCCCACCGTATGTGTGCGCCTGTTACCATTCAGTTGGAGGCCAAATACTAACTACTGCGATAAAAGATTCTTGTATATTCAATCAAATTTTAACGGCAAAATACTTTTGCACACTAATAGGTTTTTACAAGTATTCTTTATTAATTCCAAAAGACATAACAAAATAAAATTAATATTTATAAAATAGAATGCTTGTTTTTGTGTCGAAAATTTGAGCCAAGATGCTTGGGGATAACTTCAAACTACTTTTGAAGATGACACACGAGGATGATATGGAACAATCACCAGAGGGCCGAGGCCGGCCCCTGTACTCACCTTTAAGCAGATTCGGCTCCTGAATCCCAGCGACTATTTCCAAGTCTAATATTAGGATTTTGTTTTCCATAGTCTTTCAGCCTCCCCAGACAACACAAGCCTCGCCAGGCCACCATGATGCCTCTAACACACATGTCCAGCCACTTGGGCTGGACGGTAGAGCGACGGTCTCGCTTCGTGCAGGTCGGCGTTCAATTCCCGACCGTCCAAGTGGTTGGGCACCATTCCTTCCCCCCCCCCCCCCGGGAGCCGGTCGGCCGAGCGGACAGCACGCTGGACTTGTGATCCTGTGGTCCCGGGTTCGATCCCGGGCGCCAGCGAGAAACAAGGGGCAGAGTTTCTTTCACCCTATGCCCTGTTACCTAGCAGTAAAATAGGTACCTGGGTGTTAGTCAGCTGTCACGGGCTGCTTCCTGGGGGTGGAGGCCTGGTCGAGGACCGGGCCGCGGGGACACTAAAGCCCCGAAATCATCTCAAGATAAACCCCCCCCCCCCCCCCGTCCCATCTTAAATCTTTATCCTGATCCCTTCTAAGTGCAATATAGTCGTAAGGGCTTGGCGTTTTCTCCCAATGGTTCCTTTCCTCCAACGCACGTTCAGCACCAGCTATACAGGAGGTTTTTTTTTTTTTTGAGATATATACAAGAGTTGTTACATTCTTGTACAGCCACTAGTACGCGTAGCGTTTCGGGCAGGTCCCTGGAATACGATCCCCGCCGCGAAGAATCGTTTTTTCATCCAAGTACACATTTTACTGTTGCGTTAAACAGAGGCTACAGTTAAGGAATTGCGCCCAGTAAATCCTCCCCGGCCAGGATACGAACCCATGACATAGCGCTCGCGGAACGCCAGGCGAGTGTCTTACCACTACACCACGGAGACTGCATTATATTATATATTACTTATATTATATTATTATTATATATTATATATTATTATATAGAGTTATATTACTTACTCGTGGTAAAGAACAGCAGAACACTTCTTCTTTTCCCCTCAAGGCATCAGCGTGGCGGCACAGCACGGCACGCACCCACAGCAATCGAGAGTTCCACAGCATGACGCAGCGTGGCGCAGCGCAGAGTGTCTCACAGGTGCTGAGAGCCGCTGCTGGAGACGGCGTCCCCTGCAGCCTCCTCTACCTGACCCGGGTTTACTCTCCTCCTCGGGGCCTCAACGATGTTTTGTGTTTTAGTTTTCGAGCGGAAAACTCAAAATAGATTTCCTTGCGATATTTTTTTATATAATGTATAGGAAAGATGTTTCTTTAAAGAGTTATTTACAATTTTGAGGTTGCTGTAGCAGGTGCGTGACCCGGAAGTATGGCGCCGGCTCGCAGGTCTTGTCCACGCGGCGCAAGTGTCCTTAAAATTTTATGATATTTATTTAAACAATTAAATATATTAAGATATTTACAATTTATGAGAAATAATCCGGACATTTTTTTATTTTCAGATTAAGCTCTTTTTATTGTTATTAGCACAAATTGTCCTGTATTAACATTAGTTATATTAATTATTAACACGTATCGAGGCTATAGTGTAACTTGCAACATTTCATGAAAATTTATTTTATATCGAGGACTATTTCCGCAACTCTGAATATATGAATGAGTGTTAGGAGGTCGTGTTCTACACCGCTGAATGTAACCCAAGTGGACATAATATCCAAGAGTAACATTATCTCAACGTTGAATCAACATTGATTCAATGTTGAATTTATTCTTGGATTTAGACTACTAGGAACCTAGAATTATATATATATAAAAGGTGCCCGGAGGACGAGTTTATTGGGCAGCATCAGTCCCTGTGTGTGAACATACCGCGAATGACATTCAAAATATAACCATTCCATGAACAAATTGTTGCAGATTCCCAAAAACACACTTTGCTTCTGGACATAAAAGTAATTTTCCGCTAAACTAACAAACATTGCAGCAGTCTTGGTCGTAGTTCACTATCGATATTACTGGTATTTATTGTAATTTCAGCGCCTGTCTCTGGCACATCAGTGAAACTGGCCGCTCTCTTTCTGACAGACTCAAAGAACACAAAATAAAGTGTTCCTGTTATTGATACAAAGTACTATTTGCCTCTCAGTTAAAGCCATCTCAACAGCACTGTAGGCCCTGAATCAGACTGGGATCCATACGTCAGGCTGCGAGCAGCCGCGTCCAACAGCCTGGTTGACCAGACGACTAGCCGGGACGGCTGGTCAAAGACCGGGCCGCGGGGCCTCTGATCCCTGGAGACTCCACAAGGTCAGTAGGTAGCCTGATGGGCAGAGCAATGCACTTGAGACTCTTACCCAGGTGATGGGCACTGGTAGACCCCTACCCTAGATGATGGGCACTGGTTGACCCCTACCCTACATGATGGGCACTGGGGGACCCCTACCCTACATGATGGGCACTGGGGGACCCCTACCCTACATGATGGGCACTGGTAGACCCCTACCCTACATGATGGGCACTGGGGGACCCCTACCCTACATGATGGGCACTGGTAGACCCCTACCCTACATGATGGGCACTGGTAGACCCCTACCCTACATGATGGGCACTGGTAGACCCCTACCCTACATGATGGGCACTGGTAGACCCCTACCCTACATGATGGGCACTGGTAGACCCCTACCCTACATGATGGGCACTGGTAGACCCCTACCCTACATGATGGGCACTGGTAGACCCCTACCCTACATGATGGGCACTGGTAGACCCCTACCCTACATGATGGGCACTGGTAGACCCCTACCCTACATGATGGGCACTGGTAGACCCCTACCCTACATGATGGGCACTGGTAGACCCCTACCCTACATGATGGGCACTGGTAGACCCCTACCCTACATGATGGGCACTGGTAGACCCCTACCCTACATGATGGGCACTGGTAGACCCCTACCCTACATGATGGGCACTGGTAGACCCCTACCCTACATGATGGGCACTGGTAGACCCCTACCCTACATGATGGGCACTGGTAGACCCCTACCCTACATGATGGGCACTGGTAGAACCCTACCCTACATGATGGGCACTGGTAGACCCCTACCCTACATGATGGGCACTGGTAGACCCCTACCCTACATGATGGGCACTGGTAGACCCCTACCCTACATGATGGGCACTGGTAGACCCCTACCCTACATGATGGGCACTGGTAGACCCCTACCCTACATGATGGGCACTGGTAGACCCCTACCCTACATGATGGGCACTGGTAGACCCCTACCCTACATGATGGGCACTGGTAGACCCCTACCCTACATGATGGGCACTGGTAGACCCCTACCCTACATGATGGGCACTGGTAGACCCCTACCCTACATGATGGGCACTGGTAGACCCCTACCCTACATGATGGGCACTGGTAGACCCCTACCCTACATGATGGGCACTGGTAGACCCCTACCTGCATGATGGGCACTGGGGGACCCCTCTACTCGCATGATGGACACTGGGACCCCTACCCAGGTGATGGGCACTGAGGGAACCCTTACGCAGATGGGCACTGGGGGGACCCCTACCCACATGATGGGCACTGGAGAACCCCTACCTGCATGATGGGCACTGGAGGACCCCTACCTGCATGATGGGCACTGGGGGACCCCTACCCAAATGATGGGCACTTAGGGACTCCCACCCAGATGATGGGCACTTGGGAGGGGAACCCACATAATGGACACTGGGGGACCCCTTACCCAGATAATGGGCCCCATCCATCCGCAAAGGTGCAGGAATGCCAGCAGATAGTTATGCATAAATTATTTTTTATAATAAATATAATTTGAAAAGGAATTTAAATCCTTATTTTGTGAGTGGTATGCATGTCACTTACTTATTTCGCACCAAACCCTCGAGATGATATTCCTGATAGTATGAAGTTATTTTGAAACCCCAAATAATTACTAGTACAGTATACAAAAATATTGTACAGTATAGTATTGTTTGTTCTAACATTTAGAAATGCAGCCAATTGAAAAATCTTTCTATTTAAAGATTGGATAAGGTTAAGAATAGAGTTTTGTGAATTGTTTATATATATTTATTTTTACATATCTATTACAATTAAGGCAATACAAGTGCTGTACTTGAACTGCGACTAGATATGCATTATACTATGCCAGGAAAACTTAGCCAAAATTGGTGCAGATAAAATGTGTAATACAATGTAATGTAGAGAATAAATATTGTCACAAGAGTGACTAGCACCCATAACTTTCCTCAGGTAACTTGGATTAACATTCAGCATTATTTTTGTGCAACAGTAAATGTTTCTCTGGAATAGTACAGCAGCTTGACATACAATATTCTTGATATTTAAGTATTAATGTTTTTAAGTAGCGATGCCCAAAGTTGTTCAGTGATATCTATTTTCAGGATATTAATTTCCATGACATTTAAATTAATTATCAAATTTGCTTTAAAAGTTTCTATTACAAATGAGGATCTGTCCAAGATTAATAAGGTTAAAACATAAATAATAAATGAAAATTATCTTAAAATACAATGTAATTATACTTACTGTATTACAAATATTAGCCAAGAAAAGTTAGAAAATCTCTTTCAGAATGGCAAACAATAATTTTTAACATACACGTGAGTACATTTCTTATTAACAAAATGTAATTTGTACATTTTATTTTAAAGGTAACCTACATATTTTATAAATTTCTTATTAAATACTTATTACAGCATCATGACACTAATTACAGTACAGTACTGCATAATATATTAAAAGCATTTTGAAAACAGACATTTTCAACATACCGTAAATGAACAAAATGATGTGCATAGCAATTTTTACATTTCAATTCACTGTTTGTCCTTGCTTACATTAATGAATATCATCTGTAACAATTCAGTTTACCAATACAATAATAAATTATGAAAAGTCATTTATCTCAATATATTCATATGCAAAATATTTATACTTGTCATTTACTGCATGTGACATCTGTCACTTCATTTATAGCATGTGATATATGACATTGCATGATAACTTAATCTACTTAAGAAAAACAAATTATGGACAATTCTCACATACCAATATCTACTCTGCAAAGATTATCTGCTTCCAGCTTCACATAAAAAAAATTAAACATATGTTTCTGTGGAGTTACCTGTTTGGATTGAGAACAGAACAGTGTCTACACATTTTGACAGTCTTAACTATACTGTATTGTACCAAGACATTTACAGTTTTTAAAATGCACAATAACATTCATTTCACATATTTAAAATGTTATTGCCCAAAAATTTGCTCAAGAGCCAGACTTGCTAATAATTGACTTTAAAGCTAATCTTGCTAAAAAATTTGTTTTTAACTATTTGCTAACAATAATTTACATTAAAATTAAACTTACCGTACAAAACATTTTTCCTTGGAAATTAAAGCTTTTAAACATTTTAAACTACTGTATATTAAACTTGTCTGAACATTTGTCTTGGAACCACACCTGCTTTAAAAAATCAGCTTAGTATTACAATTCTAAACAACATAATCTTCAGCAGAAACAAAATACAATTTTCAAACTAATTGTCACGTTAAAAAGAAAACTTTATTTTTAAACAATAAGTTACATTGTACACTGCACATTGTTCCATGACTGACATACCTTATGGTGTCAATTATCAAATTATTGTACTGTTTTAGTGCCATATTAACATCTTCAAATGAGAGAATCATCTCTATAATTGTAGTCATAATAAATGCATTGTAACACAAAAGATCACCTTTGAAAATTTTATTAAGAGCAAGAAAATAAGGTCAAGGTAATTGAAAACAGTACTATGTAGTACAAGACAAGAAATTGAGAAAGCTTCTTAGGATATGAGCGCTCATTTTATGCAGTCAGCTAATATTAATTAAAGTTGTACAATATTAAACACATTCCTCTCTCTCAACTAGTCTCAGCACATGATCATGAATGAGCCTCATGACTACCGAGCCCTACTCACTATACCCATAAATATTAAGGAAGGTCTGTGAAACACTGCATGCTTCATTACACTCTACTACATAGCTTATATTACTCTGACTTTTATTATTAGAACTGGTAAAAAGAGTATAAAATAAGAGAGCTCTCTGTATGACGTATAAAGTCAACACTTGCATTTTTGTGGAAAAATATAAATATTGTATTAACTACTGTAGAATATACTGTATGTAGAAAATTTATGAGAAAGTGAAACTCTGAGAATAAAATGTCATCTCCATGCTTAAACAACTAGTAATACAAAGACACCAAGCCTGAAGACAATGATGTTGGCATGCTGTCCCATACACTGTGTTAGGCTTCGTATGGAAAGCAAGAACTAAACACACTTAACATAAATCATTAAAGTTTGATTAAAATTTTCTACGGCATGACCATGATTTTGTCTTGCACAATATTCTGAACATTTTTATAGTCAGAAATATTTTTTTTTTAAATAATATTTATTTAAACTTAAAATCCAATACACTATGTACACTAACAGACATAAGACAAAGATGAACAATTAATGTTTAATTATTTGCAATTTCAACAGAAAATAATTTATGTACACTTCTAGATTCATGAAGAACACTTTGTTGATTTACCTGTATTAACCTACTGACCATTATTTCTGAAGGTCATCGTGGGGCCAGGAAGCCCATGGTTGTGTAGAGAACACCCCCAACTCTTCCTGAGGAGTCTTTCCAGCTTTGTTGGACAGACTGTTTCCTTATTACTCTAAGAAGGGAAGAAAAACCTCTTGCTGTCTATTGTGCAAAATAGCTTTAAATGTTTAACCTATCTCATTAGACCTCTTAAGGCCAGGGTTTATATTCAGTAATTTACCCAATACCCTAAATGTGTGAGTGACTCAAAAGTTGTCAGTCGGACAGCCTTTCCTGCTAAGGTACTTACTGATATTTTTTGGATAATTATAGTCATCCAGTGTTGAATTTTCTCTAGTGAAATAATGTCTTTTTGATGAAGAGGTCTTTACACTTAAATACAGTAAACAAATTGGGCCATACAAAGATTTGTAAAGCTGAATGACTCTCATCTTATTGCATTAAGTAATTTATTATTATAAAGTATATAATAACTAATTCTCTGTAATTAGAATACTGTAGTTACAGAGTTGTAGAGATGTAAATATATTAAGATGTTTATTATGCTTAGGACTTAAAACCAACAAATCACCGATTGAATTCTTATAAAAGAAATTTTCAAACTGCCTGGATGAATGGAAAATGTCAACATAGATAACATTGGTTTTACTGAAGGATACCAATGTTTTTCAGAGAAAGGGGGCCCCCACTGAAGTGCTGACCTTGACATCATGACACTGTTCTAGATTTAGCTCCCAAAAATTAAGCTCTGGCAAAAGCTTTAAATTTTAATCATAAATTATATTCCAGAAACAATCAATCTCTGCAGTAGATCTAAATAAAAGGTGCTCCTAAGGAGAATTTCCTGCAATCCTCAATGAATCTTGTTCAATTGAAGGAGCAGTCAATAATTAACCTCGGCGGAAGGTCCTGACAGAGTAGATGCTGGAGAGGATATAGAGAGCACAGTTCACCAGTCCCAGAGCCTGAAAACAGCCAAAACAGCCAATAAATATTGCATCTGTCATACATATATCCTTCAATTTTATATGAACATTTTCATTTAAAACTCAATTAAACAATCTCAGATAATCTTCACCATCCCATCATTCATTTCAAATAAAAACAAATATTAATGTATAGCAACATTCATCTTCTCAAAATATTAAAAAGAAAGCTACAGGTGTAAATAAAGAGGATATTACAGAGAGATTAAAGCCAAATAAGACACAAGGAAAGTGGAAGAAGAACAGGAATGAGTATAAAGTAACGTGACGAAACTCCAGAATGTGAGATAAACAACCTAACGATACAACACTATTGGAATCCTGCTGCATTCCCTCACCCATGTTAATGCTTCATATATGTGACTAATGCAAGTTTTCATTTTCACTAATGCAAGCTGATGTATATGAGTGGTTAAATAAGAGTGAATAATTCAGAGCAGTTTTACTGCCATGCAGCTACAACCCATTGTCCTGATATGGGTGTATTGCTCTTATTAATAGCTCACAGCTCTATAGTGCTGACAAACTCAAGCAACTGATTACATCTGTAATGACTCCATACTCTCACACTTATGAAGGCCATCTTCATGACTGACAATGCACTCACCCCTGAAAATATTTTAGAGCTGTAGCCTTTCTCGTATATTTTATATCCTTCGTTCCTGGACACCACTTCCCTCAGTAGGTTAATAGAAGAACACACTAGAAGGTAGGACAGTGTACCATGTAACAGGACAACCTACAGAATAAAAAAAACCACACCTCAGTCACATGCATTCCTTGCTGCTGCTTTCTTCTATCACTACCATGGGGGTTACTGCTGCCTCATTTATTACAATATGAAATGCTCATCTCTTGTACTGTACTGACTAGCTAATTGCATATTAGTGCAGTATGGTACATAAAATTCATTTCTGATTTCAATAAACAGTACAGCATTGTGCACAGTTTTTGTACTGTACTTAGTAATTCACTGTCAAACATCTCATATTAAATGTGTGAGGCAGCAAACAGATCTATCTTGGTTCCTGCTACTGTATTTAAATAACTTTAAGCATATATTGTGAGGGCATTGATCCTTATATATTATATATAATAATTTATAATAAATATAAAGATCAAAATTAGAATAACACACACAGGAACCAAGATGCTAGGGCTGTTAAAGCAGAAAATTAATATTTCAGGTTCTTTGTCCAGCTACAACTTAGAACTGAGTAAACAGAGGAATGCTGTTTGGGTTATTTCACTTTTGAATGTGAAAAAGTTTTTATTGCAAAAAAGCAAATTGATCAAACTCAGTTACTAAGACCAGCAGTACAAAAGCCTGAAACATTTACCATCCATCACCTGTTGGAAGGACACATTTCGGCTGATACTTACACTGGCAGCCGTCTTAGCTACATAGTGGCTGTCCCGGTAAGTTTTGTTGGTCAGGTAAATGAGGAGGTAAAGGGCACTGGCGAAGTAAAGCAATGATGCCACTATGTGATACATCGTCTCCTGCAGGACCCAAAACATCATAATCAAGAGAACAAAACACATTTCCCATTAAAAACAACAATTCATAGGTGTAGCCAACTCTTAAATAATTTGCAAATTTATTTCTATTAATTACCCCCAAAAATTATCATATGAACACCTATCATGAAACTAAAACTGTTGTTTATATAGACTTTAGGGCATTGTTACATATTCTGTATAAAAAAGCCATTCACCTTAGGATTTATCTTCTTATATCTTCAGGTCTGACATGGCAGAATATAATATATATACAGTATTATATATATATATATATATATATATATATATATATATATATATATATATATATATATATACTGTATATATATACACACACACACATATAAGAGTTCTTACATTCTTGTAAAGCCATTAGCACGCATAGCGTTTTGGGCAGGTCCTTGATCCAAATTTTTTTCACGGAATACGACCTGCCAAATTATTTAACAATCAGGTACAGGGTCCATTCACTGCTTGGTGAACAGAGGCTACAGTTAAGGATTGGCACCCGGTCAATCTTCCTCGGGCCAGGATACGAACCCAGGCCAAAGTGCTCGCAAAGCGCCGGGCGAGTGCTTTACCACTATGCCACGGGGACTGCTTAAACACCGATATGTAGAAAGCCTCCCTCAATGGCTTCCTATAGGTAAACAGTGGGATAGCTGTACACACATACCATGTCATACCAGACACTTGTAAATCATAAAAATCCTAACAGAGACCTGAGGCCAAAACTTAAGTCCTTTCACAAAGGTGCAAAGAACAGGGAATGCTAGATCACCCAAACTGAGAGAATAAGCCACCAAAAAAGGTATAACAAAACAAAATGGAAAACAGCATGAAAAATTTACATTTCTAACAACTAGGAACCCAATAATTGGGGTTCCTAACCTTGCTAGTTACATCCCCTCCACACTGCAGGAGCTCCTGGTCTGACCAGGGTCACCCCATCAGTCATTTGCAAGATGCTATCCTGTTCTCATGCCCTCTTCATGTCATGTTTATCCTTTTTTTTTTTTTTGAGATATATACAAGAGTTGTTACATTCTTGTACAGCCACTAATATGCGTAGCATTTCGGGCCGGTCCCTGGAATATGATCCCCTGCCGCGAAGAATCGTTTTTTCATCCAAGTACACATTTTACTGTTGCGTTAAACAGAGGCTACAGTTAAGGAATTGCGCCCAGTAAATCTTCCCCGGCCAGGATACGAACCCATGACATAGCTCGCGGAACGCCAAGCGAGTGTCTTACCACAACACCACGGACACTTTGGGGGTCATAGTTTTCCATATAAGTGTTGGCCATCCATTGGACTCTTGTCTTGTGGGGTCAATTTGCTTGTGTTCATTCCAGTCTTAGTGTCCCTTTTCTTCAGAAATTACTACTACAGTACTGCTTTTCTCTGCTCCTGGTGAGTCCCATTTGTTTTGCTTCTCTATGGTGAGTTAGATACAGGAAGCCCCTGAGGGAGCCCTCCCAGAAAACCAGTGATGAATGTAATAAAATGCCACTTTCTGGTGAGTTCACTTTCAGGTGCATAAGTTGCCTTTGGTAGGCTCATGACTGACGGGTTGACCCCCGTCATGCTGGGAACTCAGGGGCTACCACCTAGTGGTGAGAGGGGCAGTTTTAACTAGAGGGGAACAACCTAATTACTCCTAACTATTGTGTTCCTAATTCAATATCTTTATTATGCACCCCATACCCATCCCGAGGGCGGTGGTGAAAAGGGTTACTGAGGCACATAATCGGTTCAGGAACCTAGGGCCAGATTCACGAAAGCACTTACGAACGTTTACATCTTTTCTCAATCTTTGGCGACTGTGTTTACAATTATTAAACAGTTAATGAGCTCCGAAGCACCAGGAGGCTGTTTATAACAATAACAACAGTTGAATGGGAAGTTTTCATGCTTGTAAACTGTTTAATAAATGTAACCAAAGCCGTCAAAGATTGAGGAAAGATGTACACTTTCGTAAGTGCTTGTGTAAGTGCGTTCGTGAATCTGGCCCCTAGTTGTCAGAGTTGTTCGTATTTTCCTTGCTGTTGTCTATTTTGTTTCACCTATCTTAATGGTGGTTTATTTTCTCTGTTAGGGTGATCTAGCATCCTATGCTCCCTGCACCGCAGGGAAGAGACCAGGTGTTAGCCTTTGGTCTCTGGTAAGCTTTAATGGCTTGTAAGGGCCTAGTGTAATGTGACATGTGTACCGGTATCCAGGTGGTCAGCTTACAGGGTCACCAAGGTACACACCAGAAAGTGCCATTTTTATTCAATGCATGATCATTTTCCCTCTCAACATTGTTATACTGTACACACATTAAAGAATAATGCAACAAAAAATTTCATCAATAAATTACTGTACTGCCATCATTATCACCAAAACTGTTATGAAAATATTATCATAATTAAAATATTACGAAAATTATGAAAGAACTATTATGAAAATATTAAAAATATTACATAATTACTGCTCAAGCTATTGCAAGTAGATCGAAAACTGTCAATAGTCTTCTGATTATTTTTTATTAATTCCCTTTCATTTTTTCTATTATTTCAAACACCTTTGAAGGTGTTGCTATGTTATCTAGTGAACACTATTGTAATACTGTATAATCATTCAGGGTCAGAAGTTTTGCTTTTGTTGGTTATAAATTCGTTGATGTCATCCTTCAATGGCCCTACCATGACTTTAATGTTTAATTTAAATATTTCTCCAACTCTTTTTTTTTTTATTTTTAATTATAATTATTTTTCCAGTCTTACCATGACTTTGATGTTTAATTTAATTATTTTTCCACAGTATACAAAAAATTGACTGGATTTCAAATACTGATACTGTATCTTTTTTCTCATCTCTGTAAAGTACGAGGCTACAATGTTTTTTCCCTATTATTTTTCTCCTTTTGATGAACTATTATGAAAATATTAAAAATATTACATAATTACTGCTCAAGCTATTGCAAATAGATCGAAAACTTACAAAAAGGGTCTTGGGGATGATGGAGGCGGTAGCAATGGAACATATGCAGGAGAAGAGGAGGAGAGAGGTGGTGATGAGGCATGCTGTTGCTATCAGCAGGAAAAAGAGCTCTGGCACAAGACTGTCTGATCTTTGAGACCAGTGGATATAGTGTCCAATTATGCCAACTGCTACACATCCCAGGATCTGCAAAAGGAATTATGGTATCAATTATCTTTCAGATTTGTACACATCAGAGAAGAAAAAGTTACTTTAAATGTTCTTATAGTATATAAATAAATACTGTAAGATATAGCCTAGAATGGGGGTAAGTAACACCAATTTTTGAGGTTTTGCAAGATATAAAACTGTTGTACTAGTTGAAATATTCTTATTGTACTGTATAAGTTTTCTTCGTGTACTTCTATAGTAATTAACCAATTATACTACATATTGAGTTTTATATTATAAAAATTAATAAGACCAAATATAATGCAGTAACTTTGCAGAAAATATTCTTAATAACACTGAATGCATCATCCTGTTTGACCAACAAAATTCTTCCAAGGCCTAGGGTTAACATGGCTCATATGAGACATGTGACTACCATTCCATCCTAACCATTAATAACCAAGTGCCACCTTGTTACAGTCTTGTTCAATGTCTGCAATGTCTGAATCTCTAATTGAACCAGCTGCACCCCTTCTCCAGGACTTAAACAAAAAAAAAGACCAAGTCCTCTTTTGACAGGAAAGTGATTGATTCCTTCTAAAAGATTCCAAATACAGTATGCATCTCTGTCAAACCCTATTGTAATTTTTTACCTTTTAACAGTAATCATATTACAGTTACATTGTATGTAACCAGCTTTTCTTGTCATCTTTAATAGCATAATAACCAAACCATTTAGTCTCCACTTGCAACAGTTTATGCTGTTTCTACTACTTCAAATGTGCCTATACAGTATTACTCTTGGCATAATTTATCAGCAAATATTTGACTGACTACATTGACCTCAGCAATTAATTTCTGTCATATATCCTGTGTTTTATCATTGTATATATATATATGGCAGTTAAAAATGTACATGTTAGATTTTATTGCAAATTTCAGAAATGCCAAACCATGTACCATTCACCAATTACTAACTAGTACAGTACTTGTAATTCATTTTGTCACCTATCAGTACAATGCTAGCACAGTACTGTATATGTAAATATCCTTGTACTGTACTTGTTTTCATGTCACAAAAAAAATAAGTGTGGTATCAGCAAGTACAGTACCTTATTCTCAAGTACAGTAGTTCTACAGTGGCCCAATAACAACAACGCTGACTTTATTTCCAAACTTTTCATGAATGTTTACTGCAGCAAATATTAAGCTGAAATCTACTTTACAACCTATTATTGCATATTTACTAACATGAAATAATTTTGATAGCAAAATGTAATAAAAATAATAATGTAAAACTGTTCATTCATTTAAATTGTAATACAACACTAACTTTGTATTATTTTTTTATAAAAGGTCCTTAAAATTGTACATCATCAAGTACAGTACAGTACTGCATATGCAATGTATTCTCCTACTTACAATCTGGAATATTTTAAGAATGCCTGGGAATGTCTTGAGGTATCCAACATTAATGAGGAAAGCTGAAGTGGTGGTGGTGGTCACCATCCTATGAACTGTAACCTGGGTCGACATCTTTGTATGCTATCTGTTGATTAAATAAAAAATATAAACAGCCATAGGTTACCAGAGTATATTAATGCATTAATAGTCTTTCTCATAGGTTTATAGTAGCTAATAATTTTTTCCTAGAAGGAATGCAAAATAAAAATAAATTGCAGCTTAACTGTGAAAGCAAAAGTAACGCCAGTCCATAAAGGAGGCAATCCGGCGGACATAAACAATTATAGACCAATATCAAATCTACCCACTCTATCAAAAATATTTGAAAAAATTATTTACAAACAGCTCTATTCCTACCTCATAAAATTCGACATACTCAGCCCCTGCCAGTTTGGCTTCCGGTCCCAAAAGAGCACCAATGATGCAATCATTAGTCTCCTTGACATTATCTACTCAGCCCTTGACAAAAATAAGTTTCCGATTGGACTCTTCATTGACCTAAGAAAAGCCTTTGATACTGTTAATCACAACTACCTCTTACTTAAACTCCAGCATTATGGAATCCGAGGCCTTGCCCTTGACTACATCCGATCCTATCTTAGTGACAGACACCAATATGTAACCATCAATGATACAACTTCTTCCACTCTACCAATTACCGTTGGAGTGCCACAGGGCAGCATCTTAGGACCTCTTCTATTTCTTATATATATAAACGATCTGCCTAATGTCTCTAATATTCTCAAACCTATATTGTTTGCTGACGATACTACCCTTATCTACTCAAACCTCAACCCACATACACTAAATAATGTTGTGAATAATGAATTAAAAAAAGTCCACTTATGGATGTCAACGAACAAACTAACATTAAACATCGAAAAGACTTACTACATCTTATTTGGAAGCAAATCATCAAATGCAATTCAGCTACAGATAGACAACATTAACATCAATAATAAAAATGATGGCAAGTTTCTTGGCCTATTCCTAGACAAGAGACTCAACTTCAGCACCCACATTCAACACATAACTAAGAAAGTCTCTAAGACAGTTGGTATACTCTCCAAAATCAGATATTATGTTCCTAACTCTGCTCTCCTCTCACTATATTATGCACTAATCTACCCCTATCTTAATTATGGTATCTGTGCATGGGGGTCTACCACTGCAAACCACCTTAAGCCCATCATCACACAGCAAAAATCTGCTATCAGAATTATAACTAACTCTGCTTTCAGACAACACTCAGCTCCCTTGTTTAAATCCCTAAACTTGCTAAATATTAACTCCCTCCACACATTCTCTTGTGTCAACTACATTTACAAAACCCTGTTCTTAAATGCAAACCATGCTCTGAAACTCTCCCTGGACAGATGTAATAGGATCCATTATCACCACACCAGAAATAAATATCTCTTTGATATCCCCAGGGTCAAACTTAATCTGTGTAAACACTCTATGCAAATTAAGGGACCTAGTCTATGGAACTCACTCCCTAGTGAATTGAAAAACTGTAAAACTTTTGCCTTATTTAAAAGCAAAACCAAAAAGTACCTAACTTCATCTTCTTAGTTTCCTACACTGAGCTTTAAATTTGCTCTGTACCTAGTGTTACCCAATCTCCTAATTTTTATGTAATATCAAACAACCTTATCATTGTGTTCATTGCTGTCTTCTTTTATGTGCTAGCCATATGCTGTATTGTGACTACCAATTTTTGTCAACTACCATTCAAGCTGTCATTGCAATCAATCTTATATTGTTTCTGCTGTATTGTGCCTACCAATTTGTTGTCAACTACCATTTTAAGCTGTCATTGCAATCAATCTTAGCTACCTATGTGCTTTAATATACTGTACCTACAATTTTCTCTCATCTTCTTTTTTTTTTTTTTTTTTTTTCATTTCATGTAATCTGTTATCATTTTTTTGTCTATAAATTTTGCAAGTATTTACCTCCTTAAAATTTTCTTAGATTAAGGACCTGCCCGAAACGCTGCGCGTGCTAGTGGCTTTACAAGACTGTAATTACCATATTTGTATCCTCACATTCCTTATGTACATTCTTGTATATGCATAAATAAAATAAAATAAAATAAAATAAAATAAAATGTGCAGACACAGCAGAAGACATACACAATTAGTGAGATATTGTATATATACTATATATATTTGTATATAAATAACAAAAAGAAAAAAAAAATATATATATATACATATACACACACACACACACACACACACACACACACACACACATAGATATTTGACATTCAGTACCTTCCTCCCTTGGGTAAAAGTGACCATGTCTTTTTGGGAATAAAGTATGCAATGCGTTATAAGCTGGAAGAAAATAAGGAGGTTGAAGCAGTTGAAAAACCAGACTTCAGGAGAGGACATTATGGTGACCTTAGAAATTTTTTTAGTGAGTATAATTGGACAGACTTGATGCTAGGCAAGGAAGTGAATGAGATGTATGGCAAGTTTTGTGAAATATATGATAAAGGCACAAAAAAATTTATACCAAAACAGAGATGCAGAACTAGGAAACAGGATTGGTTCAATAGAAATTGCGAGAGGGCTAGAGACCGAAAGACACAAAAATGGAATCAATACAGGAAGAGGCCGAACCCCCAAACATACCAGCGATACAAAGATGCGAGAAACAACTACACGGCAGTGAGGAGAGAGGCAGAAAGAAATTTTGAAAAAGGGATTGCGGACAAATGTAAAACAGAACCAGGTCTATTCTATAAATTCATAAACAACAAATTGCAGGTAAAGGATAATATTCAGAGGTTGAAAATGGGAAATAGATTCACGGAAGATGAAAAGGAAATGTGTGAAACACTAAACGAAAAGTTCCAAAGTGTGTTTGTACAAAATGAAATCTTTAGGGAACCAGATACAATAAGAATTCCAGAGAACAACATAGAACACATAGAGGTGTCTAGAGACGAAGTGGAAAAAATGCTCAAAGAGCTCGGTAAGAACAAAGCAGCTGGCCCAGATGGCGTTTCACCATGGGTTCTGAGAGAATGTGCATCTGAGCTCAGCATTCCACTTCACCTGATCTTTCAGGCATCCCTGTGTACAGGAATCGTAGCAGACGGGTGGAAACAGGCTAACATAGTTCCAATCTACAAAAGTGGCAGCAGGGAAGACCCCCTCAATTATAGACCTGTATCATTGACAAGTGTAATAGTGAAAGTATTGGAAAAACTAATCAAAACTAAATGGGTAGAACACCTAGAGAGAAATGATATAATATCAGACAGACAGTATGGTTTTCGATCTGGAAGATCCTGTGTATCGAATTTACTAAGTTTCTATGATCGAGCCACAGAGATATTACAGGAAAGAGATGGTTGGGTTGACTGCATCTATCTGGACCTAAAAAAGGCTTTCGACAGAGTTCCACATAAGAGGTTGTTCTGGAAACTGGAAAATATTGGAGGGGTGACAGGTAAGCTTCTATCATGGATGAAAAATTTTCTGACTGATAGAAAAATGAGGGCAGTAATCAGAGGCAATGTATCAGAATGGAGAAATGTCACAAGTGGAGTACCACAGGGTTCAGTTCTTGCACCAGTGATGTTTATTGTGTACATAAATGATCTACCAGTTGGTATACAGAATTATATGAACATGTTTGCTGATGATGCTAAGATAATAGGAAGGATAAGAAATTTAGATGACTGTCATGCCCTTCAAGAAGACCTGGACAAAATAAGTATATGGAGCACCACTTGGCAAATGGAATTTAATGTTAATAAATGTCATGTTATGGAATGTGGAATAGGAGAACATAGACCCCACACAACCTATATATTATGTGAGAAATCTTTAAAGAATTCTGATAAAGAAAGAGATCTAGGAGTGGTTCTAGATAGAAAACTATCACCTGAGGACCACATAAAGAATATTGTGCAAGGAGCCTATGCTATGCTTTCTAACTTCAGAATTGCATTTAAATACATGGATGGCGATATACTAAAGAAATTGTTCATGACTTTTGTTAGGCCAAAGCTAGAATATGCAGCTGTTGTGTGGTGCCCATATCTTAAGAAGCACATCAACAAACTGGAAAAGGTGCAAAGACATGCTACTAAGTGGCTCCCAGAACTGAAGGGCAAGAGCTACGAGGAGAGGTTAGAAGCATTAAATATGCCAAAACTAGAAGACAGAAGAAAAAGAGGTGATATGATCACTACATACAAAATAGTAACAGGAATTGATAAAATCGACAGGGAAGACTTCCTGAGACCTGGAATTTCAAGAACAAGAGGTCATAGATTTAAACTAGCTAAACACAGATGCCGAAGAAATATAAGAAAATTCACCTTCGCAAATAGAGTGGTAGACGGTTGGAACAAGTTAAGTGAGAAGGTGGTGGAGGCCAAGACCGTCAGTAGTTTCAAAGCGTTATATGACAAAGAGTGCTGGGAAGACGGGACACCACGAGCGTAGCTCTCATCCTGTAACTACACTTAGGTAATTACACTTAGGTAATTACACACACACATTGCGGACGATGCTAAAATTATGAGAAGGATTAAAACAGAAGAGGACTGTTTGAGGCTTCAAGAAGACCTAAACAAGCTGAAGGAATGGTCGAACAAATGGTTGTTAGAGTTTAACCCAACCAAATGTAATGTAATGAAGATAGGTGTAGGGAGCAGGAGGCCAGATACAAGGTATCATCTGGGAGAGGAAATTCTTCAGGAGTCAGAGAAGGAAAAAGACTTGGGGGTTGATATCACGCCAGACCTGTCTCCTGCAGCACATATCAAGCGGATAACATCAGCGGCATATGCCAGGCTGGCCAACATACGAACGGCATTCAGAAACTTGTGTAAAGAATCATTCAGAACTTTGTATACCACATATGTCAGGCCAATCCTGGAGTATGCAGCCCCAGCATGGAGTCCATATCTAGTCAAGGATAAGATTAAACTGGAAAAGGTTCAAAGGTTTGCCACCAGACTAGTACCCGAGCTGAGAGGTATGAGCTACGAGGAGAGACTACGGGAATTAAACCTCACTTCGCTGGAAGACAGAAGAGTTAGGGGGGACATGATCA